AACAATTTTATCATGTCAGAAACAAATTAAAAATATACTGCAAGTTGCATCTGGTGTGAGAGAATTGGCAGTCTGCAAGGACGTTGCCCAGGGGATGCCTGTGGGAGGCTTCTCTCATGTGCCCACATGGAAAGCTGGGGCTGACAGATGGGAGCTCACTACGTCTTGTGGATCCAAACTGCCAACCTTCACGTCTTCAGGTGAACAATTCAGCCAGCACAAGGGTTTAACCCATTGCACCACCATGGCTCCTTTACAGAAATGGGACTTACCTGGAATTCCAAAATGGGGAGTACTCCAAAATTGTCCACATGAATGGCTATGATAGTGACACATTTGCTTTCTGATCATTCAGTGTGCGCACACTCTGCTTCATGCGCAAAAGGATTTAAAGTGTTGTGTAAAACTGCCTTCAGATTGTGTGTATAAGATGTACATGAAACTTAAGTGAATATAATGTTTAGATTTGGCTCTCATTTCCAGGATATCACATTGTGTACATACATGCAGATACAGGTATTCTGAAATGCAAAATAGATCTGGTCCCAAGCAATTCAGATGATCAACTTGGACTTAGAATTCATTGCGATGCCCCTGAACTACAATCCAGAAGGTAGCCTGAGATGCAGAGGATTGAGGATCAAATCAGTTACTCTTTGTGGTACAGTCACTCAGGAAATGTACTACAATTCTCTAGCTCAGACATGGGCAAACTCAAGCCCTCCAAGTGTCTTGGACTTCAACTCCCACAATTCCTAATAGCCAGTAGTTTGCCTTCCCCAGTTCTTCTAATATTTGATAGCTTTAGTATATTCAGGAAATGAAGTTTGTGCATTCACTTTTTTCAGCAGGTAGGATGTTAGGAATTGTGGGAGTTGAAGTGCAAAAACCCCGGAGGGCTGAAGTTTGCCCATGCCTACTTTAGCCTGTATGTTTTTCTGTATATGTGGGGCTGCAACATCAGACCGGTTGTGGGGCTGCAACATCAGACCGGTTGCCTAATAGTATTCTTAAATGCCAGGTTCACTCTGTATATGTGGCATCAAGTCACTTGTTTATTCATGATGGCCCCCAAAGATTGCATTGAGTTTTCTTAGGCAGGGATTACACAGAGGTGGTTTTGCCACTTCCTTCCTTTGAAATTGTACTTGCTGTTTGTTGATGATCTCCCATCCAAGTACTAGCCAGATCTGACCTTGCTTAGCTTCAAAGATCAGATGGGATCTGGCCCCTTTAGGGTATTGGGGCCAGCCATTTGACCTGCATACTGAGATTTTAATAACTATTAAAAACTACAATCCTTGGTAAATAAAGCATTTGAAAATGAATGAGGAGAAAATTTTCCTATTAAGAAGAACAAATAAAGGGGGTAGATTTTGTCTATGAAAGCTTATGCTGGCTTATGCTAAGGTGCACGGATATTGCGCACTGATATTCCAGACTAACGTGGCAATGTTTTTGAAATGTGTATGTTACCATCCCAGTTTTTTGCAGTTAAAATAGCTGTCCCTGCTGTCTACAGTGATGAAGACTGCTAAAGAAACCAATTCAGTCTTGTCGAAGGCTTTAATGGCTGAAATTGCTGGGTTGCTGTGAGTTTTCCGGGTTGTATGGCTATATTCCAGAAACATTTTCTCATATTTCACCCACATCTATAGCAGGTATCCTCAGAGGTTGTGAGGATGCCTGCCATAGATGTGGGTAAAACATCAGGAGAGAATGCTTCTGGAACATGGCCATACAGCCTGGAAAACTCACAGCAAACCAGCGATTCAGTCTTGTGTACATTTTTAGACTCATGTTGTCAACTGATTTTTATTGCTGCTTTTAAAATTGAGTCTTGGGAACGGAATTCAGAAAACATTATAAGATATATTTCCCTTCTAAAATATTAGCAAGTTAAATACATGTTCAGATGGTATAAACATGATGTGTTGAGTAATTGAGCTAAAATATAGTTTTATGTGTATCCTACTATTCTTGAGCTGAGCTCAAGCTGGACAAACACATGGCTCTCCTCCTTCACATGATCCTCAAAACAGTTCTGCAAGGTAGTTGGATCTAAAGGATTCCCATGGCTGAGCTGGTAGCTAGAGGCCAGATCTTCAAAGTTGTCAGTCTAAAACTCTGCCTGCTGCACTACATTGGCTGTGTGGCACGCTGCAACTTCAGCCATGTTATGAGGCATTTTTAGTTTGGGAAGTAGTGTCCAGAATCCAATGAAGGGGATTTTTGGGTGTGTCAGGAATGACTTGAGAAACTGCAAGTTGCTTCTGGTGTGAGAGAATTGGCCGTCTGCAAGGACGTTGCCCAGGGCATGCCCAGATGTTTCACCATCCTTGTGGAAGACTTCTCTCGTGTCCCCACATGGGGAGCTGGAGCTGACAGAAGGCGCTCATCTGCACTCTTCCTGGATTTGAACCTCTGACCTATCGGTCTTCAGTCCTGCTGGCACAAAGGTTTCACCTTTGTGATGATGATGGGGATGAGACTGGAGGACCACCCCAGGTTTCTACTTCATTATCTCCTAACTATGGTGCCAATGCCACTGATCTTTTCCCTCTTTGCACTGGGCTACTGACAGTGCAATATACTATCTCAGAATATAGTGGAGTCTCCTCCTTTGAAGGTTTTTGCACATCTGTCAGGAGTGCTTGAATTGTGTGCCCCTGCATGGTAGAATAAGATTGGATTTGATGTCTCTAGGGCTCTCTTCCAACTCGATTGCTGCAAGACATCCCTAACATCAATGAAGTTACTGTCCCAGGGAACAGATTATTGGTGCCACAAAAGGGCAGTGAATGACTGATCATTAAATTTGAAATCAATCCTATTTCTAATGCCAGAACAGAGGAAAGGTGGGATTTTCTGCCTTTTTAAACCAAACTAATTTACTTGGTTTGGGATCCATCTTGATTCAGTTGGAACTGAGGCAGACTTTGCTGTTCTGGGTAGCAAAATGCATTAGGCCAACCTGAGTGCTGCTGTCTCCGAGTCATTTGGGGAAGAGGAAGAACCTATATTTGGCTTCTTTGGGGGGCAGATGTCCCATGAGGTGGGGTAGCTAGCGCATGGACTGACATTGTCTCAAGGTGTCTTCCCCTTCAGCTGGGTTAGCTTGGGCCTCCCTCTGAGGCTGAGAAAGTGTGATCTCCCCAAGATCACCCAGTGAGTGTCTATTATGGCCAAGAGGGGCTTCCAGCTATGGTCCAACACTCAAATCACTACAGCAGGCTCTCAGCTGTTCAGGTGGAATCCCAGCCCTAGAACTGTATATTGTGATAAGGTCAGATGATGCATCTACAGCAGGCTTGGGCCAACTTGGGCCCTCTAAGGGGTTTGGACTCCAACTCACACCATTCCTAACAGCCTCAAGCCCTTTCCTTTCCCCCCTCAGCCGCTTAAAAGGAAAGGGCCTGATAGACTTCATCACACTAGAGAGAGAAAATCCACTTAAAATCCGATTTCTGCCTCCTGCAGAATTCTGGGGTTTGTAGTTTAGTGAGGCTGTTAAAGGCTCCTCCCTAAACTACAAACCCCAGAATTCTGTAGGAGGCAGAACCCGGATTTTAAGTGGATTTAGTGTGATGAGGCCACTCGTGTAATGCAGTTACGCTGGAGGGACGAGCGCCTTCTCCTTGACCCTCCTCAGGTAAATCAAAGAGGTGAGCGGGGTGACCCGCAAGGCGCCGGACTACCCCCCCGAAATTCTCATGGTGGTTTACCGAAAGGCCTTACTGGTGCATTATTTAAACTGTTATGTTTATTCATATCATGATCTGATCACCATACTCAATATATCCCATATGCATGGGGGTATTGGGATAATGATACAAAAGGTTTGCTAGGGTAGACCCTCTTTCACTCAGACTCAGCCCCCCCCAAAACTCAGCCCCCCCGAAACCCCCCCTGAAAAAATCTCAGCCCCCCCCCCCCCCCGAAACGAAATCCTGGCTACGGGCCTGCTCCTCAGGTAAATCAAAGAGGTGAGCGGGGTGACCCGCAAGGCGCCGGACTACACCTCCCCTCATCCCCGGCCGCACGAGCCGGGAAGGGGCCGATGGGAGGTGCAGTGGACAGGGATTTGCCCAGAAGGCGGGAAGCGGCAAAGAGAGCCGTCGCGTCCAAGAGAAGCCGCTCCTGCCTTCCTTTCCTTCCTTCCTTCCTTCCTTCCTTCCTTTCTCCGGAGGGGATTCCTTCCTTCAGGCCTGGGAAGCCCTGCCCCGCCTCTCTCTCTCTCTCTCTCTGGCCGGGAAGGAGGACAGGGCTCGCTCTTTGCACGTGCTCCGGGGCTCCCTGTCCCTCGGGGGGTCCCCAAAGAGGCCTGAGGCGAACCCCTTTCCCCTCGCAGCCCGTCCGGAGAGCGCTGCCGGGCGTTGTGTTGACTTTGCCCGCTGGCAGCGCCGAGGGGAAGCCCGGCCCAGGCGGCATTGTTGTCTCAGCCGCTTAATCAGATCCTACGAGCCGCGCTGGAAAAGGCCGAACAATAGGCCCCCCGGGCGCGGGGTTGGGGTGGGGTGCGGGGAGGAGGAGGAGGAGGAGGTTAAACTTCAACCAGCTCCCCCTCCACTTTCCTCGCGTGGGCCTCCCTTCCTCCTACCCTCCTTCCCCGTCGGAGCCCAGGGAGCGGCTAAGGGGCGCCCCGAGAGAGGCAGCAGGCAGGGAAGGGGGCTCGGAGGAGGAGACCCACCCCGCATGGCATCGGGAAGACCTCGCTGGCGGTAAGGATAGGAGTGTGATGGCTGGGTGGCCATCTGTCGGGGGTGCTTCTTGCCAGGGGGTTGGACTGGATGGTCCACGAGGTCTCTTCCAGGTCATCTGTCGGGGGTGCTTTGGTGGTGCCCTGGTTGTCCCTTCACTTGGGGTCTCGTCCAAGTCTGGGATTCTGTGGTTCAACCCCCGCGAGCTCTTTCTCCCCGCAACACGTGGATGTTGGACGAGGGAGGGGGAGAATTGGGAAGTGGGCGAGGGGAGGGGTTGCGGGAGGAGGAGGAGGAGGGCACGCCTCCCTATCTCCCTCCCTCCCTCCCGCGATGGCAGCAGGTGAGCCAGGCGCGGGGGGTGGGCCCTGCCCTCCTTCCTCCGTCCCCACAGGCTCCCTGCCCCCCTCCCTCCCTGCCTGCCTGCCTTCCTTCAGTGGCAGCGGAGGAGGAGGAGGCGGCCAGGGAGGGAGGGAGGAGGAGGGAGGCGCGGCCCGGGCTGGGTGCGGTCCTGTCGGGTCCCCGATCCCGGATCTCTTCAATTTCCCCTCGCCGTGGCTCACTCGCGCGCCGGGAGCGGAGGCGCAGGGAGGCAAAGGGCGAGCCAGAGAGAGAGAGGAGAGAGAGAGGGAGAGAGCGAGGGAGCAGGAGTCGCACTAGAGAGATTCAAAGAGGTAGAGAAAGGAGGAAAGAGAGAAGGAGAGAGGGAGGAGTAGCAGTCCAAAGAGAGGGAGATTAGGAAAGGAGAGAAGGAAAGCGAGGGAAGGAGGGAGAAGGAGCAGGAGTAGCAAGAAGGAGAAAGGGAAATAGAAAGAGAGGGGAAAAGGAGGAGGAGGAGCAGAAGGGATTGAAAGAGGGAGAGAAGGAAAGAGAGAAGGGGAGAGGGAAAAGGAGTAGCAGTAGAGAGACAGAGAAGGAAAGGAGAGAGGGAAAGAGAAGGAGGAGCAGTAGAGATTAAAAGAGGTAGAGAAAGAAAGAGAGAAGGGGAGAGGAGGAAAGGAGGAATAGAGGGAAAAGGAAGAAGGAGTAAAAGTAAGGAGAGAAAGAAGGAAAGAGGGAGAGAGGGAAACAAGTATCACGGGAGAGAGGAGGAAGAAGGAGAGAGGGAAGAAGAAGGAATAGCAGGGGAGAGAGACAGAAGAAAAGAAGGAGAGAGGGAGGAGGAGTAGGAGTAGAAAAGGAAAGAAGGAGAGAGGGGAAATCGAGGGAAAGACGTATCACGGGAAAGAGAAGGAGGAAGAAGGAGCGAGGGAAGGAGAAGGAGTAGCAGTAGCCGCAGCAAAGTGCGGGCGAGCGTGGCAGTGGAGAGCGAGCAAGAGGGAGCCAGGGAGCAGCCCCCCCCCCCCCTCTGAGCACCGGAGCGCCGGAGCGCGGCGGCCAAAACAAACGGGGGCCTGGCTACTTATTGGCGGCGCCCGGCGCGGTCCGGCTCAGTGCGCACCTGCTGGATGGACGGGCGCTGAGCCCTGCCGCCCGCTGCTCCCCACCTCTCTCTCTCTCTCTCTCTCTCTCGCTCGCGCCCTCCCTCGCGCGCTCGCCCTCCGCCCGCGCGCCCTTCTCTCGCTGGCTGCCCGGGAGCCATGAAGGCGTCGCGGCGCCTGCTGCTGCTGAGCGGGCGCGCGCTGCGGCTGCTCCCGGTGCTGCTGCTGCTGCTGGTGGAGGCGCCGTCGTGGGCGCGCGGGTGCGGGCCGGGGCGCGTGGTGGGGAGCCGGCGGCGCCCCCCGCGGAAGCTGGTCCCGCTGGCCTACAAGCAGTTCAGCCCCAACGTGCCTGAGAAGACGCTGGGCGCCAGCGGGAGGTACGAGGGCAAGATCGCCCGCAACTCCGAGCGCTTCAAGGAGCTCACGCCCAACTACAACCCGGACATCATCTTCAAGGACGAGGAAAACACCGGCGCCGACCGCCTCATGACCCAGGTAGGAGGAACCGGGGAGAGAGAGAAGGGGCCGCGAAGGAAAGAAGGAAGGAAGGACTGGTGCTCTGAATGCGATTTTCCTGCTTCTTGGCAGGGGGTTGGACTGGATGGTCCACGAGGTCTCTTCCAACTCTGGGATTCTATGAAAGGGAAGCAAGGAAGGGAAGAAGGTAGGAAGGGGAGCTGTCTCTTCTCGCCTCCCTTCCTTGGCGCCAGGCACCTGCTCCTGGGCAACTGTGACCATCCCCAGCTCTGGGCAGCACCTGCCTCTTGCTTTCCTTCTGGGCTTTGGGCTGCTGTGAGTTTTCCGGGCTGTATGGCCATGTTCTAGAAGCATTCTCTCCTGACGTTTCGCCTGCATCTATGGCAGAGGTTGTGAGGTCTGGGCTTTCCTTTTGGGTTTTCCGCTTTTGGAGTCAAGGAAGGTGCAAAGAGAAGGTGGGGGACCATTGGTATATCGGGGCGCATTGCTTAATACCGAGTCGAGGTTCTTCTTGTGGGGGGAGGTCCACCTTTGCGAGGGGGGTGCCTTCATAGCACCCACACCTCCCTCCTTCCCTCCCTCTGCCCGTCTTCACCCTCTTCCCCAGCATCCTTTGGCGCACCAGCGCGACGGGCGCTTCCTCTCCGTCCCTGCGCGGCTGGTCCCCATGTTGCCGAGGCGGGCCAAGCCTCTGGATCCGAGGGGGTGTCAAGGCTGCCCAGGATGGGGACTCGCCTCCTGGCCCGGCAAGGGACAAGAAGCACTTCCCAGTTTCATCTCTGCTTCTTTCTATCTCGCAATCACGGTCAATGTATAAGACACCCAAAGATGTTCTAAGATGGGAAGTTTCCTCTCTTTCGTGGTCTCAACCTGTGGCTCCCCAGGTCTTTTGGCATAGAACTCCCAGAAATCCCAGCCAGTTCGCCAGCTGTTAGGATTTCTGGGAGTTGAAGGCCAAAACAACTGGGGACCCACAGGTTGCGAACCACTGCTTTAAGCAGCCATGCTATATACCTTTGCTTCTTGGGCTGCAATTGGAAGGAAGCTCCGTGGAGTTGAATAGGACTGACACCTGCGTGGGCATCCATCCCGTTGCGGTGCACAGCACAACCTGCTTAGAATAAGAACAGAGTCTGCTTTTAATACCCATTTCCCCCTTCAAATCGTCTCCCTCACCTTCTCCCTCTCCACGTCCATCTAGAGCAAGCCTGGCCCAACTTTGGCCCTCCAGATGTTTTGGAGTCCAACTCCCACAATTCCTAACAGCCTCAGCCCCCTTCCTTCCTTTCCTTTCTGCTTCAGCAGCTGAGGGGGGAAAGGAAGGGGCCTGGGGTTGTTAGGACTTGGGGGAGTTGGACTCCAAAACACCTGGAGGACCCAAGTTGGCCCAGGCCTGGTATGGACTTCTCTCTCTGTCTTGGCAAAGCAAGAAGGAGGCACCCATGATATGTATATATTATGGTCAATGACCAGCACCAACACCCATGACTTTATCAATGCATGGACCCATGGAGTCAAGTAGCTCTGTTGACAAAACCCCAAATCCAAAATCTATACTGTGGGGATTTCTTTATTAGGCCAATCAGAAGGCACAAAAAACCACCCAACATTATGCCAGGTTTCAGAGCACATCTTCCTCGGGCAAAGTTGGTTAGAAATCCAGCTGGGGAACAAATAGTGACATTGTTGGACTTAGTATAACAAAGACACCATGGTCTTTACCTGGGATTCTGGGTTACCACAGATCCTTTTCTCTGGAGTAAAACTACCCAGAGAAACTTGGGGACAGAGAGTGGATTTCATACTGGGATCTTCCTCTACTCTGTCCTAGCTGTCTGTTCATTGGTCACACATTGAGGGCATGCTCTGGGAGATAGAAAATGCATTTGGATTTGGAAAAGAAGGAGAGAAGAGGAGGTGCACCATCTTCCTGCTGCCAAGAACAACCAGTGCCTGGGATGCCTGCCGTGCCCATCTCAAGGGCAGAGCTTTGAAAAGTTCTGTTTTCAAGACTATCACTACCCCCCCCCCCAAATCAGCATGCTGGTAGGAGGATTCTGGGAGTTGTATTCCAAAAAAGTAACTTTTCCAAGCTCAGACTCCCTGTTTACTCTGATATTTCATTTCTAGCTGTGACAAGCCTAAGGATGAAAACATCCTGCCTTGGGGACTTCATACAATTATGATTCTGAGCAGGGCTATGTCAGAGCAACTCATTTCTACTTAAAACTGAATAACATATTCGGCAGTATATAGGCAGATATATAGACCCCACTTGTCTGGTTTCCAACACCTCTCAAACTCTGAGGATGCCTGCCATAGATGTGGGCAAAACCACGGGAGAGAATGCTTCTGAAACATGGCCATACAGCCCGGAAAACTCATAGCAACTCAGTGATTCCAGCCATGAAAACCTTCAACAATGTATTAGGCAGTTCCAGTTTGTGCTCAGGAATTGCATGGTTGCCTTAGATGGGAACAGGGTCTTCCATCCTCTCATTTGATGTTGCATGCCCCCCAAGTTATTTTTGACTCATGGAGTTATGGGGGCCCAAAATTTTTTTCTGGAGCTGAGAAAAACTGAATGGGAATTCAAACCCTGATCCCCAGAGTTGTAGTCCAACACTCAAACACTCAACACTCAAACACTCAAACCAAGATGCCACACTGACTTTCATTGGAGGACTCCATTTATTCAGAGAGCTGTTTGCATTTTTTTCCTTCTTAACTTATTCTCCCCAAAGAACATCTATTTGCTCCTCTAGAGTAGGTAGATTTATGGACCTGCAATGCCATCTTATATCTGTCTACTCAGATGTAAGTTCCATTATATCAATGGGACTTGAGCTCTAGTATTTTCAGAGCAGGACATTGCAGTGTGAGGCTATATAGTACTATTCACAAGTAAGTCCAATGAAGTACAGGTGATTTTCTGTTAGGATCCCATGGTTCATGTGGGGGAAATATCCTAGGGAGAATGTATTGTTGAAGACTTTCATGGCTGGAATCACTGGGTTGTTGTAGGTTTTTCTCCTGATGTTTCGCCTACATCCTCAGAGGTTGTGCGGTCCTAGGGAGACTTTGAGAGGGACCTTCAGTTCAGGATTTTGGGGAGAGGGGTGTATAGTCAGACCCAGATGCTGGATTTCAGAATGGGAGAAATCAACATTTTGGCTTGTTGACCTGGAAGGAAATTTGAAGATAATCAAAAAATAGTTCCTTTCCTTATTTTTATCTCATCCACATTGAATCTCTGGCAAAAGGACCTGGGTATGCCTGCAGCATGGACTTCCAACCAGAAAGACAGGATAATAAAAGTTTAAATTTTTTTTAAAGAGAGACATATGCAAGAAATGCCCAGCTGGATCAAACCAAAACAGATCAAGCTGAGCTGACAGCAAGGCTAGGTGGCTGGTCTGGCAGAAATTGCTCAGTGGCCTATGGATAGATTGTGGCCAGTGGTAGGCACTGGCCATCACTGTGGAAAGCTCTTAATTTTGGATTAGAAAGACAGTTTGTATCTCTGACTATCAGATTAGCAACAATCGTCATGTGTATTGTCAAGACTTTTCAGTGGATAGTTTTTGCTGTGCGTTCTTTGTGTGTGCTTTCAAATTGCTAGTTGGTTCTTAGTGACCCCATGAATTTTTCATACTTCCTTGAGGTGTTTACTCTGAAAGGGCAACATTGGGTCTTTGTGACCAGTGAATAGACTGCAGATCCCATCACCCACAGCCATTGACTCTGCAAGATGATGGGATAGTTGCTATTTACCAACCTATGGAGGGAGATGTATTGCCCACAGCCATTGTAATGCCATTCTTACCCAGTGAACCTGTGATAAAAGAAAAGTGCAGCGTCAGGTCAGGTGACACGATGAAGCCTGTGTGCCAAGAGAGCAGGAGTGTTCAAAGGGTACTGTGCCAGAAGTGCCTGCAGGACCAGGAATAGGCATGGCCCTGGAAAACACGCCCTGAGGACTCAGGCAAGCCAAGCATACTGCAACACAACTCAAACAGAAGCTGAAACTCCACTCTGGGAGTCCCCTGCCAGCCTGACCTTGGGAAGGGAAAACAACGTCCCAAGCCCAACAGCTGTGCTCTTGATCCTTGTCCAGTGTAGCTTCTTAGAGTTAGGAGAACTGTACTAAGGATGTGGATCCAGTCCCTGAGTAGCGTCCGACTAGGTTGTTACATCCTATATATAATGTGTATTATGCAGGAGGAAGAGGGTTGTTTTTGAAGAGCGCTGAAAGAGCTGCAGCCTGACTATTGAGCAGGGCTGCTTAAAGGAAGCAAATAATACTGACTCTGCTGGCTTACCAGCCTGTTTGCAAGCACAATCCAAAATGCTGGTTATTTATTTATGTATTTATTTACTATACTTATACCCCACCCTTTGCACCCGAAGGGGACTCAGAACGGCTTACACATAGGCACAATTTGATGCTGCATATACAAACATGCAATAAAACAAAACATATACATTACAACCAAAAAGTTAAAACCACTTCAACCTTAAAACTAATCATTAAAACCATACAATCCAAAAGCTTTATTACCTTGTTGTTGTGTGCTTTCAAGTTGTTTCCAACCTATAGTGACCCTAAGGCAAACATACAGCAAGGTTTTCCTGGCAAGGTTTGTTCAGGATAGGTTTTTCAGTGCCTTCCTCTGAGGCCAAGAGTTTGTGACTGGCCCAAGGTCACCCAGTGGGTTACATGGCTATGAAGGGGTTCGAACCCTGTTCTGCAGATTCATAGTCCAGCATTCAAACCAATATACTACAGTTGTCCCTCCACATTTGATCTTTTGAGCCCCAATGGGTTAAACCCCTGAGCCGGCAGGACTAAAGACCGAGAGGTCGCAGGTTCAAATCCAGGGAGAGGCGGATGAGCTCCCTCTATCAGCTCCAGCTCCTCATGCGGGGACATGAGAGAAGCCTCCCACAAGGATGATAAAAACATCAAATTATTCTCTCACACCAGAAGCAACTTGCAATTTCTCAAGTTGCTCCTG